CCCCAAAACCCCAAAACCCCTAGTTGTTAAATAAGTTCGAAATTTTCAGTTGAAGTAATCAATAATTAGAATTTATTAAAATTATAATAATTATTTCAATAGTAGTAATCATCATTTTATTTAGTCATTCTAGGAGCCATTACTTATTACATGTACTTAGTAAAGGCATTTTGCTTTTAATCTTAAATGAATTCAAGAAATGATACAACTTTTTCTGGCTGCAATTCCATTAGCTTATCACTAACATCTTTGAGCCCTCTATAAACATAATCAAAGTCCTATAAACATGGAAGATCTTCTCTTAAGCTTTCTGGAGGATTTTTAATGAATATCTTTTGCATTTCAATCAAAACATCAAAAGCACGAATCAGATCAGGATTTTCAGAGTGAAGAGCTTTAGTTATTCTTGAAATACACCTCAAAACTACCCTTAAATAATGCTTTTACTCCTCTGACAGATCTGTTGCAAGATTTTCTGGCATTGCTGATCTTAGAATTTAGAACAATGTGACAAGAGAAGTGGTGAATTCTTTAGAATTCAGTAGTTTACTAACGAGCTTTTAGGCCTCTTAAGTAATTTAGTTCTATTCATTGATCCCTTTTTGCATTGACTGAGATGAAGCTCTTATGTTGGTAGACTCTAAGAGAGCTTTTTCTTTGGCAAATATTTTAAGGTTGAAATCAAGCAGAGTCCTGTAAGTTTCAAGGGGCAATGCAAACAAGATATCTTCATTCTCTAGGGAAACCTAGAGAGCCATAACTAATTTGAGTTTTTAGTCACTGTTTTTGAGTTATTAATAATGAATTAGTAGAGCAACACCTATTCTTTGAGTTTCTTCCTTATCATCGAAATTTAGAAGGAGTTCTTAAATCTTTTTTACACCAATTTCCTCTGCACCTTGAACTGACTGTACCTAATGATCATTGAATAGCTATTTTACAATTGCAAGTTACTCTTCTTTTACGACATTAACATCCTTTGACTTCCTATCTGGTTATAGTTTCTACAGAATTTGCTGTTCTTATTACTATTATAATCTCTGTTCAAATTCGTCGAATTTCTTTAGCATAAACTTGTGTTGGTCTTGCATTAGTTTGAGTTAGTTTTTAAGATCTTCATTTTCACTGACCTAAGTCAAGTAGCATTTATTCGCTTCTTAGAGGTTAGAGATGACATCATTATGATCTTATCTGATATCTTCATATTTCTCTCTCCATTCGGCAGTTTCCTTATTTTTTGCCTGCATTATTTCATATCTTTCTCTTTCAATTCTTTCTTTTTCAAGTTAGAGCTTTTCTAATTCAAGTCTCCATAGATTTTCTTTCATAGTACTCTCTTTTAATTTATATTCCTAGTCTAAAATTTTATTGTCAACTAAATTTTCAGCTTTTTCACTCTTATATTCTTCAATTTAAGTAGGTTTAACTTGGTTTTATTATTGAACTCTTAGTTAAATATCGTCATTTTTTAGATGTAGAGAATCTTCTAATTCGTCATCTTCATCTGTTTTTACTATTTAATATCTTTTGCTTTTATCGCTTTGATAATAATTACTACCATTAGTCTTGAAGAATTAAATATTTTACTATTATGGTTACTTTTCTGCAGAGTCATCTTTTGAATCAGATACAGGCTCTTTTTGTTTCTTGCTCGAATTTTATTACTGGAGTTAAGCTTCTAATCTATTCATAATTTGCTCATATTTATTAAAGCCATCATCATCTCCAAATTTCCTCTGGTTACTGCTTTTTCTTTTTTCTCTCAATTTTTAGTATAATTAAGAATGCTGACTTGATGCAGATTTACCTCTTACTGAATGAATGCCACTTTCATCTACATTATTTTACTACTACTCTTAAAAGTGAAGACCTTCTCTTGTTTATACAAAATTTGAATTATAGACACTGCTTTAATTACTGCTACTCTCTCCCTTAGTCTGAGGAAGATTCAATTTATCTTACATTACTAGCTGTTTTTGCTAATGATTAAGATAGTTTTAAGTGAACCAAGCCATAAATACATTATATAGTTATTGATGATGCATGAGTTAAATTTCCATAAAATCTTATATTTTTTGAGTTCCAAACTTTTCTACACAGATTTGGAAAAATTCTGAAACCACTGTTTCCAATATATTTTTTGCTAGCATCAAAGAAACTTTTCTAAAATCTTCAATGGCCCATTTTTCCTCTTCATTGCCCTTAATTGTACTGATCATTAGCCAATTAAACAGAGAGGCAAATAAATCTTAATTTTCAGAACAGGCCACTGAAATTCTATCAATAAGATCTTTAAGTCTGAAATTTTGTATCCATTTATCCATTAAATATTTTTCAACTGAACTATCTCTCTGAGCGAATTCAGCCTAGGCAAAGCTTGACATTATAAATGGAGAAAATCTGTAGCAATCCTCTACTCCAAATATTTCTTCTTTCATCCATAGCAAAGCCTTCAAAGAAAACGCTTATTATTACTTTTATATAGGAGTTCTGGAAATATTTGTGACGAAGGATAGAACTTTTTGAAGAATTAGTTCTTTGTCTTCATTAGAAAGAGTTTAACTGTTACCCTCTAATTTCTTAATCAATTAAAGTCCTTGATTAAAATCAGAATCTAGCACCATTGCTATTTCTTCACCAATAGTTTTATGAATAACTGGTTATTAAAGCTCAGACAATTTAAGCTCCTCGTAATGATCAACAGAGTTTATCTAATTTACAATTTTACTAGTGATTTTATTATCTTCTTCATCCTATTTCTCTTCCTCCTCCTACATAATTGAACTTTAATCATGAAGATATTCTATTTTCTTTTTCTGTTAAGTTATTTATTCCTTAAAGCTTATAATAGCTTAAATTACAGTATTTCTTTTATCCTCATCCAAAATTATTCCTAAATAATTAGTTAGAACTTCAGATCTGATATCTTCAAAATCACTGTAGTTCAATCCTTTTTGAAGTAGCAAATTAATTTTTTGAGAAAGCCAGTTGAATGCAAATACTAGAACCTGTGGCAATTCATCCCTTAGTTAAGTTGATGAAAATAAGTTGAATCCTTTAAGTAATGAATTTATAAATACCTAGATTGTTGGAGATGAAGACTGCAAAATGTTGAGAATGATTTCGAGCTACTTTTGATAATTAATCCATTTCAAAGATAGCAGAACAATTTGAATAGCTTATTCAAGTTCGGAACTTGAATGAGTTGAAGAATCAAACTCAACACTTCTCTCGATACAGTAAACTTTCTTCATTAAATTTAGTAAGCTATCTATAACCTACTGATTTTCTTTGATAAACTTATAATTCTAGCTGAAAAGCCAATGCATGCAAGATATTATGATTGGCTTAGTTTATTTAAGTCCGATATCTCCCAAATTTTCAATAGCATCATCCCATTTTTGTTATATAGCTGTGAGACCATTGACACTTTATGTAGCCATTTTCTTAATGTTGAGAATGATGTCTGCCAAATGAATTTGATATTATCCAGGGATAGTTCTACCATCATAGTAAAAGTCATTTGCTTTTTATGGGATTTCCTTTTATTTACTTTAAATTTGTTCTTCAGTATCATTTGAATTACATTTTGGAGATTAAATGACCTTAGTTTACTATCTTTCTGTCACCAATTTTTAAATTTCAGTGATTCTGTACTTTGGCATTGTATTAATAACTTCGTCAATAATTGACTTCTCTTGATTCTTACTAAATGCTTTAAATGTTGCGATTAGAGAAATTGCTGCATCTCTTACACTTGCATTTGTATCTTTTTGGATAAGACTGACAACTTTATCTTTGACTGATTTGAATATTGCTAGTATGACTTCTTCACTGAGACTTTACTCTTCTTAGATAATTTAATCACATTTTTCAAGCAGTAATTGCTTCACTCTTGCATTTTTACTGTTAAAAGTTAATGTATTTATTGAATGTTCAAAAAAACCACTAATAGGAAGGCATTGCTTTTTAATTATCATATTCAAAGCTCTATTAACTGCATTTATTGGACCAGTTTTTGTTTCTTTGAACTAAATAAATTATTGATAAAACAAAATGATTACCTTATCAGCTAGAAGTCCAATAAATTATCTAATCTTTTAGGCTTTGATATTCTTGCCCATTATTTGACTTAAATACTCAACCGTCTTGATACCTTCCATGAAGACCAATGAGTTTGAATCCTCAAGCATCTATTATTTTATAAGTTTAAATAAAATTACATGAGTCACAACATTAAAAATTTAGGTATAGTCTTTATTCTACACTTAAGAATACTATTTTCTGCTTATAATTTTCTCAAGTTCTGCATTAAATGCTTCCATTCCCTTCTTTTTGGCATTGATTTAACTTATGTAAGGTATTTCATAGAAATTCTCAGGCACAAGCAGTAGTAAGTCACTTTCAAATTTATCATTTTATTCTTATTATACTTCCTATTCTTACATTAATTGCTTCTCTTTTCCTCTTTTCGGGGAAAATCCTTCTGTATAAGTCTATGCTTATGTTGCCTAAATTTTGAATAACATTATATTAGATTTTTATTTCCCAATTTCACTGAGCATATCTTTAATATCTTTTTGCTGAACTGGTCTAAGATTCTTAAGGTTCTTCATAAAATTATTGAGATCATCTTCGCAGTTCTTGTAAATCTCCTGGATTATTTGAAAAGATGTATCTCTAAGCTCTTTATTGGAATGTCCGAGATTATCCTAGGTAGCTTTAAAAATTTGCTTCATTGATGACTCATCAATTAGTAATTGCTATTTAAAACATTCAACTACAGATTCACAGGCAAAGGTGGCTATTTTAGTGTTTTTATTTTTAAATCTTCTTACTATCTCTGGCAATATAGTTAGCTATTTGTCCTTCTTTAAAATGTTAATGACTATTTTCAGGGTGATTTCTCTGAAGTTTGGCTTGTTATGTTGTATTTTTTCAAGAAGAATCCCATTAACCTAATGGACTACTTATTTTATATCAGCTGCAAACTTTATGTATGTCAACAAACAATTCAATCCTTCATATTAAGCAACAAGATTTGAGTCACAAATCATTTTTGGTAGGATGTTTGCATACATGTCAAATGGATTCATGCCTTATTCTTCGTCTTAAAATTCGTTAAGTTTAGTTGCTTTGCAGTTCTTTGAAAATTCGTTATAGAATTGATTGTTAATTTCCTTGTAAGCTGACATTCTAATTTTCCATTTAATATGATCAACTTATTCTATTAAGCTAAGATTTTGTTCTCCATCATCATACTAATCTTCATTTTCATCATCTAGTCTCTTTTCTTGATATCCATCTGCTTTGTTTAAGTCCTTGATTGGTATGTCATCAAATTTGCTCATTATTTCTTTCCTTTTGTAGTCCTGTTGAGATATCTATCTTTCGTAATGGATTTATGACGGGATTTATTTCTACTTCATGACTTCAGGAAAAGCATCCCTTTAAATCATGCTCTCATCAGATTTTTATACAAGGTTGAAATTCTGATGCCCAGAATATTATTAATTTCCTCTTACTGGTGGAAGAAAAGTATTATTACCTTGGTACAGATTTTGATCTATATTCTCTTATTCATATTCTTCAGGCAATCTACCATTCAAGTTATAAGGAGGAGTAAATTTTTAATATGAAATTATACTATTGCCAACAGTAGGTAATCCTGTGTTTAGTGGTGGAATTTTAAAGAAGTCGTTATTGTCAATGTTGAATTGAGGATAGTTTTTATTGAACTCATTTGCCATCATTATCTTGCTATTATTCTATTGTTACTATATATAAGAGGCATCTCTAGAATACTCAACCTCATTATTTCTGTTGATTTTAATCTCATTATTCGCGTACAATGACTAGGGGGTAACACTATTACTATTGCCACTATCCTTCATCTTTGCTAATTCCAAGATGGAGTTATCTTGATTGAGTCTATCAAAGTTGTAACGAGCCAGTCTTTGCTACTCAGTTTAAACTCCTCCTAAATTTTAATTCAAATTAGGAATCAATTAAGATTGAGATCTCTGCAAGTTTTGATAGTGATAACTGCTGTTGCTGCTCTGATTTACTTGATTTAAATCCATATTGTTGATTTATGTCTTTAGTTAATGATTATTAAGAGTAAATGGATCAGACACATGTTTCAAATTCTAGTTGCCTCCCTAAGGTCCTTATAATTGCATAAGCACTTACTATATTTAATCATTTTAATTCTTGAATTTCTCGATCTCCTCATTAAATAAAATAGTTTACTTTTGCTCAAACATCATATCAGAATTATGGTTTTTAGGGAATCTGCCTGTCTGTATTTCTTTGGGTTGATTGAAAGTTTAAATTTAAATAACATCGTCTTCCTCAATTTAAAGAAGCCTTCTTGGCTGATTGTAAGGAAGCCCAGTAATTGAATCTTTTAAAAGGCCATCATTATCCTCATATTGATTTCCTTGTCCGAATAAATTCTTCTGGATGTCTAATTAGCTGATATTATTTTAGCCAGAGAGAGGTGACTTGATAGCACTAGGCATCTAGAACTAGTCTAAGTAAGTTTAAACCTGTAGATCTGGTTGGAATGTCTTCTTATAGTTTTAATTAGGTAAAATATTCTGAGTCATAGGTTCATTACCTCCAAATTTGAATTAGTTTCCTATCATATAAGGATTTTGGTTTGCATTTGAAGCTTCAAGTTCATATTAATCAAAGTCCACAAACTTATTTGTAGCCTCCATAGATTTTTCAAGCAAAAACTAATTTGATTGGAATTGATTTTGCAAGTCCTGCTGATTGAGGTAGCCTGAATCAGCTAAGTTATCGTAAAAGCTCATTTATTTTGAATTTAAATTTATATTGAGTACTTACTGAAATTTCCTATTAAAATAGAGTTTTTAAGGGGTTTTGGGGTTTTGGGGTTTTGGGG